ACTATATAAAAAATATTATTATGATTTTTTTATATATTCTTATACATAGCGGATGCACATTACAGTTATAATAATTGAACATTAATTATCATCGAATTGCACAATATCTAACTAACTCGACCAAACTAAAATTTTTGCTTCAAAATCTTATATTTCGGTACAATTATTTTATTTTTTCATTAAAAAAGAACGATTATTTCAGTTCAATGTATTGACTTTTTTTTTTGTTCTAAATAACCAAATGCTAAACTATATTAAAAATATAATAATTATTTTATTTATATTTCTTTATGCAAAAGTACTATTTAATTATTTATGTAAAAATATAAAAATGTTAAATTACGAATGGTGGATTAACCATGAACTAAACTATCCTACTATTTTTTTTTTTCCAAACAATAAAACATTATATAAACTCAAATCATAAAGTCTAGTGCAAAGGTATAACCAAATGGCTACAATAACAATACCAGCAAAACAATGCTGATAACCGAGTAATAGGGAAAAGCACACAATCAACTCCCCAAACTCGCCACACAAAAAAAAATAAAAAAAATTACAATACTAATCAAAGTTCCTATTCTTTACAGCATAGAAATTGTGATTAGGTCCCTGCACTATATTAGAAATTATGAAAAATTGTGATTAGGTCCCTGCTTATTATCAAATTTCCAAAACGAAGCCCTAATGTTAATCTAATTTACAGTAACAACACCACAAAATCAAATTTCACAATCTGCAATCAAGATCCAAGAATCAAATTCACAATCTAAAATCAAGAGCTTCACGAGCAGTTAATCTAATTTACAATAATAACACCACAAAATCAAAATTCACAATATGCAATCAAGATCCACAAATCAAATTTCACAATCTAAACTCAAGAGCTTCAGGAGTAAAACGCCAGCAGCGGGACTCTGGAGAATAACAGTTCGTCGTTGAGGTGTATGTCGACGACCGAGATAAGCTCCGCCGGCAGCGGGTGGGCGGTGCGACGGCCAGCGTCGGAGAGGAAGGGGATAATAAAGCTCGAGCTCCGCCGGGTTTGCCCTGGTGGTCCGACGAGGGACGGCGTTGGATTGTTGGAGTCGAGATTGCTCAGTCGAGTGGAGGCGGTGGACTGGTGGCGGCGAAGGAATTATTGTGGTTGTGGCGTGGTGGACTTGTGGGGGCTATAGACGGGGAGGGTGGAGGCGAGATGGCTCAGTCGAGGGGAAGCACGGTGGACTGGTCGCAGCGGAGGAATTCCGGTGACTGCGGTGTGGTGCACCGGTGGCGGGCTGAATTTTGTGTGTGTGTGTGTGAGAAATACGGATTGTGTGAAAAATAAAGAGAGAGGATGATGAAATAGAAATCATGTGATTAATTGGTGAGTGGGTCCCACATAATATATGTGTTGACCAACTTACCCTTAATTATTGGTCAAATACACATATTTGACCATAATATGATCAAATAGTTACTAGAATGCCATTAATGATTGACCCTAGTTTGACTTCATCATACTCATTGATATGATTGATCACATGGTCCAGATTCATTCTTATTTCTTTCACCATCTACCATTCTCATATGATCCTAACTCTATATATATATATATATATATATATATATATATATATATATATATATATATATATATATATAGGATGTGGTTCAAATGAGAACCAAGTCTTAGTGTGAGAACCGTGAGAACCGCTATTTTTATTTGTGCGTAGTGCTATGATTGATTGTGTTTGATGCTATTTTTAATTAGGATGAATTTTATTAAAATAGCAACACAATTTCTGGTAGCACTTGTAAAAATGATAGCATCATCTAATATGAAAAATAGCATCATACACAATTAAAAATAGCATCAAAAACGGTTCTCACGGTTCTCACACCAGCACTAGTTTTTATTTGAACCAACCCCTATATATATATATATATAAAGGACTTAGTGAAAGAAATAAGATTACATCGTGATCGTTGGATCAGACGATCTAACGGTAACAAAAAATCTAACATTTATTTAATCATTAAGGGTATATTAGACATTTTATTATTAATTATGGAATAATACCTACCACTCACTTACACACATCCACTAATTTACTGCCACGTGGCTAATGACAACTCACCAACCCACAACCTCTTTCTCTCTCACACACTCACACACACTATACACACACATCTGCATTCACCAAAACACACATCTACACGCACAGTCTGTTAGAGCATCTCCAATCATGAGCATGAATTGGAGGGTATATGGAAGGTCTTCCATCCACGTGGAATAGGTAGAAGTTCAATACCATAAAAATCTCTCCAGTGGTTATATCTATCTTCACACTATCCATTTATTTTATATTATAAAAAAAAACAATAAAAAAAACTAACAAATCTGAAAACCTTAACTAACGCCGATATTCACAAATCTGTTTCAAACATCATACCACTTCACTAAAAAATAACAAAAGTTGAATTATATGAATTCAACAACTAAAAAAATATATTTCATCATAGCTTTGTGACACCACCATTAACACAGAGTTAGTATTCATCAGGTTATCTTCTTTATCTTTCTGTATAAATATTATTTATTGTTCATTTCAAATTTTATTTACGTATAAACAATTATTAATCTTTTTAATATCATTTTTTTTCTTCATTTTCCTCTAATTTATTGACGTGATTCATATGTAGATTTTTAAGTTGCGGAGTGATTTGCAGGGTCTCTTAATACTAAATGAGCATTTGATATTACTAATTATATTTGGGAAGGTAATTTTATGAAAATTAGCGCATCTATTCTTTACAAAATTTTGATAAAGTTTATATGTAATCTAGAATTTTATCATGTACAGACATGTTAAATATCTCTTTGAAAGTGTACTAGTTTTAGTAGATGTATATCTTTTTTGTCCTATTTCATTTCACTGGAAACTTGCAAATAGAAGAGCCATAATCATTGACTTGTTCAGTTTTATTGATGTGGTTGTAGATATATATATATTTCTTTACATTTTAATTATAAATTTTGATTTTATTGCAATAACAGGTCATTCGTTCATGTTCTCATCAAGCCTCGAATCAGATTCTACTACTTCATAATGGCCTACGACATGGTACCGACTATCTCGACGCAGGTTCCTATAATACTTCCGGAAGTCTTAGTAAACAAAAAACGTCCTCATGGTGGATCGATCCCAGGTAGACGGTATATTCATCGTGATAGGAAAGAACGCCACGATTTAATTATGAAGGACTACTTCAATGGAGAAAACTCCAAGTATACACCCCCAACATTTTCGACGTTGATTTAGAATGGACATCAATTTATTTTAACATATTTTAGAAAATATTGGAAAGTTCGGTGATTATTTTGTGCAGAAAGTTGATGCAGCAGGTAAATTGGGCTTAAGTCCTTTACAAAAAATGATAGCGGCAATACGCATGCTTGCGTATGGTTGTCCTGCTGATATTCTTGACGAATATATTCAAATAGGAGAGACCACTGCCATTGAAAGCCTTAAGAATTTTTGTGATGCAATTATCGGAGTGTTTGAAGAACAATATCTAAGAAAACCCAGTGAAGTGGATATGCAAGTGTTAATGAAAGAAAATGAAGCTCGAGGATTTCCAGGTATGCTTGGTAGCCTAGATTGTATGCATTGGCATTGGAAAAATTGTCCGACTGCTTGGCATGGTACGCATACTAATGGGTTCAAAAAAGTTCCTACACTCATTTTAGAGGTTGTGGCTTCAAAAAGTTTATGGATTTGGCATGCATTCTTTGGTATGGCTGGAAGTAACAACGATATTAATGTTTTAGATAGATCTCCACTGTTTGATGATCTCGTGAATGACGTTGCACCATCATGTGAGTTTGCAGTACAAGGTCACCATTATAAAATGGGATATTATCTCTCGGATGGCATTTACCCGCAATACGCCACATTAATTCAGACCATATCTCAACCCCATCCGCTAAGGAAAAACTATTTGCTAAACAACATGAATCTGTAAGGAAGGACGTGGAACGTGCATTTGGTGTGTTACAGAGTAGGTGGCATATTGTTAAAGGTCCAGCGAGATTTTGGAATGTGGAAGATCTTGGAAAAATAATGAAAACTTGTATCATTTTGCACAATATGATCATTGAAAGTGAACATGGTCAAGGCATAAATCCTGAGAATTGGGAACTGCTTAGAGAGGAGTCAAATCATAATGTTACTTTGGAGCGTGATTTCACGTTACTTGTGTCAAGGGTGATTAGTCGAATGAAGCAAGTTCAAGATAGTAGGATGCACAAGGATTTGAAAGTCGATCTAATAAATCACTTATGGGGTCTATATGGTGATCATCAACTCGCTTGACGCAATATAATATCATCAGGTGTTCTCGGCATGCCAATGGCTGCTTTGATTTACAAGTTTTGGCCGCATTTTATCTTGCGTTCAGACTAGGTACGGTACCGTAATTAATTGAATTCAAGTGTGAACGCAACGCTGTATGTTCTAAACCTCGTCCTGCTTGAATTACCTCGTCCTCGTCCTCGTCCTGCTTGAATTAATGCAGGACGAGGTACTGAACATACAGCGTTGCAATGCAGGACGAGGTACTGAACATTTAGTGTGAACGCAACGCTGTATGTTCAGTACCAGCGTTGCGTTCACACTAGGGACGGTACCGTAATTAATTGATTCAAGTGTGAACGCAATATTGTATGTTCGGTACATGTTCTTTTTCTTTTAGATAGAATAAGTGTGAGAACTTCTTTGGCAAATAATTTTATTTTAAGTTTAGTTTTTTTATGGTTAATATAATTGATCTTCAGTATTTAGATTTCCACTGTATTATGAAATATGAACTACACTATTAATATTTAATAATTGATCATGTGATTTAGTCTAGATTATGATGTTTGAATATTTGAAAGTACTTGAAAGTAAGTTTGCTGTGATGGTATTGTTGTGTAGGAAAGTATTGTATCAACTAATGTTTCAATATCATTACACCACCTGAGCCTACTAAAAATAAAATGGAGAGTTCACACAGTTGAATTAGAGAAGCAATTCTTCCATTTCCAAACACACAAATTCATCTCACTTGAAAACATAAACCAACTCAAGCCCTTCAATTACAACCTCTGAACCCACAAATCACATTCTCACAACTCTGCATTTAATACAGAGGCCAGAGCAAGTAAATAAAAACTAACAACTGAACAAGTACATTAACTTAGAATAACAAAAGTTGATAAAAAAAAAAGTAATAGCTAATCTAAATACGTGAACGTAGTAGCAGCTTTCGAAAAGACCGTTAGTTACACATTATCACGATCCAGATGAACCTGTCTACACATATTAACCAAAACAAAAAACAAAAACAAAAACAAAAAACAAAAAACAAAAAAATTGATTTCTTATAAGAGTATAACAAGAAAAATATTGATAGAGATGTTTGAACTCTAATGCAATAATGATAGAGAAAAGAGTTATTACCTGATTTATGTTGTTGATGCAACAATCATTTTCCCATTCCTTCAGTATTTGAACTCGGTACAGTTCAATAGTTTCTCGCATGGCTGGGGATAATTTGGTCACATCCTGATTCATAATGATCTCTTGATCGCGCCTTCTCTGAGCATTTTCTTTCAATTCTTGGTCTTTCATCTTCAGTCTTTGAGCATTCTCTTTCATTTCTATAACTCTTTTTTTCATTTGTTGACCTTTCTTTTTCAATCTCTGAGCTTTTTGTTTCATTTCGAACTCTTTCTTTATTACCTGCTCCCGTAGCTCATGCTCCTTTTTTTCTCGCTCTTTTTTCAGCTCCAGCTCTTCTCTAGTGATATTCACATGCATTTCTAGAGTGCATTGTAGCTTACCTAACACCTCTACAACTCCCTTTTCATCATTTGGCTTTCTTTTTTTTATCTTTACTGGCTTTTCTTCCCTGAGGATGGACTAAACCATCTATTTCAGCATTTCACTCCCAAGAGGATTTATACACGCATCATCAGCAAGATTAACAAACGGCAAATCATTTGGCAGATGGCTAACATTGTCTGCTTTCGATTTGTTTGATCCACTCGTCTTTGTAAGTTGATTCGTACACCATTTTGGATTCTTTCTCATGATGTCCCAACAATGCTCAAATTTAAAGTCTTGCTTGTTGTTGATATCTTCATATGCCCTCTTTGCTTCTCTTTTATGAGACAAAAACATGAACCTCGTTGACAAAATTAATTATGGCGAAATAGCAACTAAAATTGTGTAAAAAATGCAAAAGCATATCCCTAATGTGATAATTTCATCATTTCCAAAAATGCCTGAACAGACAGATAAATCTAAGCAGCTTATCATTAAAACATATCCCCTTTAAACACCACTTCCAAAATGACAGAATTGATACTCTGACTAATAAAAGACCAACTCATATATGGCCATGGCTCTTCACCAAACTAAAGATCAATATTGCAAAGAATAGAATATCAATACTGTAAGAGCTTGCATACTACAGTTTATGTATAGTGAGTGCCCTGTAGAATTATGTGCAAACCCAAAACTTTATGCAAATCTCCAGGTATAAACAAAAATAAATAAGCTAATATAAATAAGATTGGCAATTATTATTACCTTTGGAGACAACAAAAAGCTAACCCAAAGGCACATGGAGGCCAAAAATCACGTAGGTTCACACTTCCAGATTAAGGTACATTAGCCTAATAACATATATTTCTGTAACTGAAGAAAATAAATGCATTTAAAACATATCCTCTTTAAACATATCCTTTTTAAGACATATCCTCTTTAAACCTGGTATGTAAACCACAGCCCAACAGCTCCATGAAATAAAACAAGTTAAACTTCTTATCTATCCAACTAATCTCACATTTAAAAGAAAAAAAATAAAAAAATAAAAAATAAAAAAACAATAAAAAACTCAATAGATACCTTAGCCTAAACTAAAGACAACACCCTCAACAATAAATTAAACAACTTTACATTAAATTTTAGTACTTATCAAGAAAATAAAAACAATTCTTACCAGATCTTCCATATTGGATCCACTCTGAGGAATTCTCTCTAGACGCTCATAAATTCCGTGAAATTTGCTAACAGCGGATTGAATTTTTGCCCATTGACATCCTAAGCTGTTGGTATTTCGTGAATTGTTGCAATCCGCCCCCATATTCTCCTTCCAATGCAATAAAATACGATTCCACATTTGCGTATTCTTTTGATTGTTACCAACATCGGAATCAACAGATACATACAGCCATGCTTTCGTCAATGCTATATCTTCGACTTTAGTCCAATTTTTGTTAGCAACAGAAGCATGTGAGTTCTTAGAGTTTTGAGTATTGCTTCCATTATCATTAAGACATTGAGACCCAACTAAATTTTGAACATTGTCAAAAGTACTGTTATGGCTATTCAATAGATCTTGAATGAATATTGGTTTCCAGGTTGTTGATTAGCAAATGGAGTGTATGAGGCATTTATAGGAACATACAGAAAGTTGGGCTGTGAGGATGATGATGGATTCAGATGGCTAACATGATTTGTAAATTGGGACTGTATGTTAGAATTGACAAAAGGTGGTTGGAAATGAGAATTTGGATTAGTATCTTGGAATTCCATTTGAAATTGTTCCTGCACAAATGCACACAAACTACTTCAATGCTGAAAATTCCATATATATGTTCATGTATATGCATGCAAATTAAAAACATATCATTCAAACAGAGAGAAAAAAATGAATCAGTTGAACCATCATTTTACAAAAAAAAGTTATGCTCAGATAATCCATCTAAACTTCATGGATCATACAAGATTTTTGGCCTCTACTAAAAGAAATTCATCTCTGCGGCTGCCCTGTGACATCACTCTAAGAATACTAAATTGAGCATTATGATATATATATATATATATAGGATGTGGTTCAAATGAGAACCAAGTCCTAGTGTGAGAACCGTGAGAACCCCTATTTTTAATTGTATGTAGTGCTATGATTAATTGTGTTTTAGTGCTATTTTTAACTAGGATGTATTTGATTAAAAATAGCAACAAAATTTTTATTAGTATTTATAAAAATGATAGCACCATGTAATATTAAAAATAGCATCATACACAATTAAAAATAGCATCAAATATGGTTCTCACGGTTCTCACACTAGACATAGTTTTTATTTGAACCAGCCCATATATATANCAAGCAAAACATAAACAAACAAACAACACACCATGGAACAATTACCATAGGTTTTAGAACCTGGGAACCCACATCACATAGCAATTCTATTAATTCCATGAACAAACTCTGTTACAACAAGGACGACCCACCAAATCCAAAACAGAAAATTGAAGCATTTTTCACCCAAAAACACAAATACCTACCAAGAACCCAACTCAAACAAGTGACCAAAGCAAGACTAATCATCGACAAGCAATATTCAAATATTAGAGCAAAACTTACAAGTTTTATACCTTATCTCTACGAGGCACGTGAAGTAGAAGAAAGTAACAACCTCCTTTACCCTTCTGCTACCTCTCAAAATTCCCAATTTATAGCCAAATCAGAAGCTTGAGAAGATGCAATTGAGAAGCGTATGTATGCATATGAATTCTGCTTTTTGAGCGCTATTGGAGAAGTCTTTCCAAGAACTGCCTCTAGATTTCTGCAATTGAAGCACCGTTGGAGATGCTCTTAGCCCATCGCCTCCAACAACCCGCCGGCGCAGTGCCGGTGCCACCCACGATGGCAGAATCTATTGTCAAACTTCCCGTCGACGTCAACACAACTTCCCGTCGGCAGCACACCTAGCCGGCTGAGACACACACGCACACGACCGCCATAGCCACAGCCCTTACAGTCGGTGGCCACCTAGCGCCACAACGACCACCGCTTCGCCGCCGACGCCGGAGCGTCCCCGCCACCGCCGAAGCCGCTAGATGCACCTTCTACGCGTCTTCCCCGAGGCCTTCCACTTCCGACCCCGTCGTCTGCGCCGCTCCTTATACTCTGTAACCCCGACTGTTTCACCTCTGGCTGGCCCCCATACCTCGCAGCAAGAGAATTCCACCCGAGACGCCGCCGCCATTTCTAATCTCCATCGTGGAGGCGGACGGTGAACGTTGCCGGAGTGTAGGTGGTGAAGGTGCAGTGGGAGACGGCGGACGACAGTTCCTGGGTGTGTAGAATGTATGGACTTCACTTTGAAAATTTAATAAATATTAGGGATTTGATTGCAATTTCTCAAGTTTTAATATATTTCAATTGTGTCCTTTAGTGAAATATAATTTCCAAAACATATTGTATAAATGCCATTTAATAGCTTTTGGTTCCAATTTTTTGGGCTGGGCACCCAAGAGTCTGGCAGTGTTCTGTCATTTATTATCTTTTTATTTAAAATAAATTAACTTCTCAATTTTGTTAATTTAAGGGGAAAAAAAGAGTACCGAAACAAGACTAATATTGATTTTACAAGGAAATCAACATATTTATTTGCAAGCAATGGAGAAAAATAAAATGCAGATTATAATATATTATCAGTATTATTGTTATTAGATTTTCCAATAGTTACACAAACATAGTTTTTTCAACAAGTATAGAATAATTTAACCGACAAAATAATAAATAAAAAACTATCTTAATTAATAATTTATTATTTTTAATTGAATTAATAATATAAATAATAAATTAATTCAGTTACTCAAGTTAATAATATTTTTTCTTGAGTAATTGAATTAATTTATTATTTAATAGTATAAATAAATAAATAATAATAAATTATCTTGATTATTTAACTTAATTCTATGTACAATTATGTATATTAAGCTAGTTTTCGAATACACATAATTTATATAAAAATATATAAATTATTGCACTTCATATAGCTGAATGTTGCACTTTATAAAATAACACGTTCCACCTTATAAACCATCATGTTGCACTTTATTATCACACTCCACAATTAATTAGTGTCAACAGCTCCCACCAAAATATTACGCAATATAAATCTATAAAACTAATCTACATAATACTTTAATATCCATCACATTATCTATCCAAAAAAAAAA